ACTGAAAAGAGAAGAAAAGTAACAGTTTAGATAGCTTGCAGAATAAGCGCACAGGGGTAAGCGCGAACCCAAAGGCAGTGCTTCGGAGGGGTTAACGAGTTAAATACAACTAGCAATTTGAGTGAGAAGTTCGAAACTGGTTTTAGTTTTGCACATGGCTGGCTGCGAAAGAGGATCGAGTATCTTTTTGCACCTAATTGCTGTAACACTATGGAAAATAGCGTGGTACATTCCCAATAGTCCATTTAATCCTCACAACGTTTTAAAAGATGATTGCTGTACCTGTTGCATGGTGTTTATTCCAATCAGATGATATTTAAAATCAGCGTGAAACAGATTCGAGTGCAAAGTCTTTCCAAGACACGGTCTCATCTGTTCTTTGAGTTGCTCAACAAACTCAGCTCTGGGTGCAGTGAAATTCCACTTTAAAACCTAGCAACGGACGAAAGCAAACAGTTTTAACCGAGAAATGGCAAACATAATCTTGATGCTAGCTGACGAAAGGAGGATTCAACTTTAAATGTACACTTCCAATTTCGTACCTTGAGATCTTTTTCGTCTTTGAAACGGCCATCTTTGCCATTGTGCCGTAAGAAAGGAGGGCCTTCGCTTTCTACATCCGCTGAGGACTTCTTAGATGACTTATGGAACAAAAATGAACTCATTAAGATATGATCATCAAAAAAATTTTCTCAGCGACTTATTAAGAAATGAGATAGGAACTGCGGTTTGATGTTACACGCTTATACCACTGATTTTGGAAAAATTCTGACACCCGAGGAAATGACATGATAAAATGGGCAAAAGTTCCTAATTTGGGTACCAGACTCCATCCCAAGAGTGAATCTTTCCTTACGATATCAGTACAATTTCGAGCTCTTTGTGATTGAGTATCGTAAAACCAAAACCCTACCACAAATTCCAGCTAAAAAGAAAATGATCCGAATTTTGTAGAGGATAACAAAGAAACGAAAATAAATCACCACCTTCTCATGAAAATTCAGTATATTCTCCTTCTCACCTTCGACTCGGCCTGCTTGGCTCCAGACTTGGTTTTCTTGCTGGCATTGCCGCCGGAGGAGGAAGCTGATGTGCCTGAAGCCCCACCACTCCCTCCTGATGTCGCTGAGGAGTCTCCCTGAGCCTTAGTTGCAGCAGGTTTGGCAGCAGCAGCGGCTGCAGCAGCTTTGCTAGGAGCTTTAGTGGGTTCGGGGAGCGAGGCTCGGGCTTTCTCTAGTATCGTTACCACATTAGATTTAGAGGCAGGCTGAAAATCAAGGCATAAAATTATTGAGTCATTCGTACAAATCAAAGTTTTTGTAAAGAGTATTCGTAGTTTCGCGAAGGCAGCCCACCCCCACCGGCCCCACCCCCCTCCACTAACAAATTCGCCGAAGATGAAAGTCAAACAATTTTGAATTCACTCGAATTCTACCTTCAGTTTATTGGCCTGTTTGCTCATAGTGTCCCATCCGACATGTTGCATCATGACAGGCACAACAGCTTGGGCTTTCTTCCTCACATCGCCACTGCGATCTTCCAAACAGGAATACAAAGGAGCCACTATGGCGACTAAGGTAGAGGGAAGGTTCTTCTCTGCTGGTAATTTCTCCTCTAGCCACCCTAACACCTGGAATACGTAAACAAAAGGCTGTAAAAACCTTTGAAATTAGACGGTAAACAATAAATAGTAGGCAACCAAGTTGTTTGGACACCATATTGTTTCATCAGTTTACCCGACTGAGAACTAACGGTGTATGATGTCGCAGGCGTTCCACGAAGTTTGCACGAACCTTCGAGCAAATTCTGATCGCCTGAACCTGCTACTGGTAAATTATGCATGCGATTCCACTCAAAACTGGAAAACAGCTTCGGTATAAATTTCTTCTATTGCATTTCATAAGATCTAAAATCATCGTTCCTGGGATGTTACCTCTGTTCTTAAATTAGGGTTTTCAGTACTAAGTGCTCCAAAGATGACTTCGCCCTCAATAAAAGGCGTTAACCCTATTTCTTTGTGCCAAGCATTTAAAGCGGTGATCCCACTAGCTCTGACTGTGTTCTAAAACAAAAGAGAGAACAGTTAAGAGAATGTTTCAAATTATTACATTTCACTGCCTCAAGTCAACGGGTTTCGTCTTACAGTAGAGCCGCCTATTACAATCACTGGCAGCCGCTTATGGAAAAAGTTATTGGAGCTATCAGAGAGATTAAGTACCGTGTTTAAGTGAAACGGCAAACGTCAGCTTACCATTTCACGTTTCACGTTAAATAGCGTGAACCTGGATGCTTTTGCTTCGCGTGAGCTCATGGTGGATTTGAAGGCGCCTTTGTATAACTTACAAGGAATTGTTTTAGTGCCCTTTGCCGGTAATTAGCTTCTACCGTGTGAGATAAAAAGTGAAGAAAATCTTACCTACACGGCAAATGCCAAACAAGTTACTTTCACGTAGAAACAGCAAAGCGCAACCGTCAAACGTGAAAAAATGGCGGGAAAAACAAGGTCACGTGGTCACTCTTGCCGTCCACGTTTCACGTAAACGCGGTGCTAAATCTCTCTATTGAAGCACCTGCTTGAAGAAGCCCTGACATAGAAACGATAAGTAAAGGAAACTTTTGTTTGTCACATGCTTCTAGTAAAACAACTATAACAATGTTGTTATAGTCATTGCTAGACTTGTCAAAAGGTCCAAACGTTGTTGGAAAGAACCAAGTACCGTTACCTTAGCGTCCGCTAACGTGCTGAATATTCCAGCACCCAAAACTTTTAAGTGCCTGTTTATTTGTGCTCCCATAGCAGTCGCCAATGTCGTGCAAATGTTGAGAGTGATGGTAACCTAGTAAATAGGAAGAAGCAAATTAACAAATGGTGAACGCCATAGTGTGTACTATTGAGCTATGGATGCATGCGGGAGGTTGCTAAGCACGAAAGAAGCGGAAGAGTCGCACGAGGCGATAGCCGAGAGCGACTCTAGCTTCTTGAGTGCTTAGCAAACCTCCCAAGTGCATCCATAACTCAATAGTTCACGCTATTGCGTTCATCATTTGTTTTATACCATAACATTGATACATTGGAACAAGAGTTCCCTTTTATTTAACAAATCGTACGTGATCAGAAAATACAAGCGCGCGCGGAAAAATAGTCTTAGCATTTGCTCACGTCAGCAGCATGCACCCATGGGCAAATAGTAGATGCTGAATTAACCAATCAGAGCGCGCACTTTGCTTTAGTTATGTTATAATATGTCATTAAAGCCCTTTCCGATTGAGTGCCAACAGTAAACCAGAATTACTATTGTTTTGTATCAGTAATCTCACGATAGGTCGAAAAAAACTAGTGCCATCTTTTCAACCAATCAGATGGAAAGCTTGAAGCAAACGCGGAATGGGTCATGCGCGTTTTCGCGCGCTTGACGAGAGTTGAACTCCGTTCACTTATAATCTCACTGTTCCTTCGGCAATTTTCATTTGTTACGATTGCCAATCATCAAACTGCTGTTATTAATTTAGTTTTGCTTAAGCATTTAAACTCTTGGTAGAAAAGCGCTGTATCAGTGACCATGAAACAGGCATTCTTTGAAAATGCACAGAACCTTCCACACTGAATACAGTCTTGATGTAAAAAATCAACAACTACAAGCCGAACCGCGGCGGTCCACAAACTCACCAGATTCTTATTAGAGTCACCTAGCCGAGCCTTTAGTGCAGGTGGTAGGTCCCCTAACTCTGGAGTGATGAACTTTGCCGCAGACAATATTTCTATGACCTGGTGCAAAGAAGAGTTAACTCGGGCATTAGCAATGGAGAGATTCCAAGGATACAAGGTGGCTGCTGCTCTCTCTTGTATGTAAGACATGGTTGAGTTACCTTTTGAAGTGCCTCTCCTCTAACTTTCCAATTCTTGTCGCCAAGTTCCGTGATCAGAGCTGGTGTGATCTGAGCGCTGAAACGAACACAATGACTCTTTGCTTTGGCAAAACTTCTCATGCCAAAATTATCATTTATTTCAGGCGTACTGAGATTTTCACTGCTTAACAATTGGTTCATGCTTTAGCGTGCACTATCGAGTTATGGAGCAACCGGGAAGTTTGGAGAGCACGAAAGAAGCGTAAGAGTTGTCCGAGGCAATAGCCGAGGGCAACTCTAGCTTCTTGAGAACATAGCCGGTGGAATTGTGCATCAAATCTGACTGCTTAACAAT